ACGGAGTTCCTGTGACTAAACATATTTTTTGTAAGTCTTATCTTCCAGAACATGAATATGTTTTGCTCTAAACTATTCTGTCCTACTACGGCTATAAAGGTTACTTGTCCTGCTAGAAGGTAAGATCCAGTCTCAATCCTTCCCTTCCTTTAGTTGCCTTCATCTTCCCATCAACTCTGACGTCTTTCTCTGCATCCTCTAAACAAAACCAGTCTCACAACATAATGCTGCCGCCACCACATTTCACTGTGAGGATGTTCATGGTGATGTGCAGTGTTAGTTTTAGACCACTTGTGTCTTGCATATAACCAAAGAAGTGCTTTCAATTGGCCATACACTTCCATAAACCTTTTGCAGCAAAATGCAAATGGTTTTTCTATGGATTTTTTTTTTTCTCCAACACACACTTTTTTTCTTACTGCTCCTCAATAAAGGCCTGATCTCTGGAGTGCAGAACTACTACAACATATTCTTCCACAGGAGTGGTTTTGGCAGTATGGTGCTGGGTGGCCACACAAGAAAGTAAAGGATGAGTTCGGCCTATCATGAAAGAATGAAGAGTGGTCATGTGCAAAAAACCGTTTATACTTTTAGATTATTTTAATATTGCTGATGAAATATAAAATGTAAGTTGTCATCAATATCAATCAGACTGTTTTCTTTATAACACATACGGATGTTATTTGTCACAAACCCCATGATATGAAGGCATCACTGTACAGATGTTCTGTATGTCTCTAAGCAACTTCTACAGAATAAGTATGGGTTCGTGTCTTTCCAGCAGAGACGCAGCGTTCACAGGAAGTGTCTTTCTGGCCTGCAGCAAGCTCTCCATCACTGCTTCAGTCAGATCACGCAATAAGCCAGTGACAGAGCAGAACCCACTGTTCAGTCCTTTTTATATTGATCTACAGTCAAGAACTTGGCTAAAGGTCTGAGATGAACACTCAGTCACACTGTTTACCTACTGGATTCAAAGCACACGACAAATGACCAACAGTCATTAATCGTGCATTAATGTAGCCTTTTATAGACTTCTCCTTGGATTTTACCTAAACAGGAGACACAAGCATTTTTAACACACACACACACACACACCACACACATATGTATATATATATATAAAACTCGGACATTTTGGACAAGCTTTCACAACTCTTCAAGTTCAGTCCTCAGTTCAGGAGGTTTGAACACTTAGCCTCATCATTAAAATATCACCCAAAATAAAGAGAAATGTATAGTGATAGTCGGACCACAGGGAGTCATAGCACTTCATAATAAACATAAAATAGCTATCTGTTCAAATTCAAGGAAGCCAAAGCGTGATTTTCGATTTTCTAAAGATAAAAATTTAAAACACCCTTGTCTACTTTAAGTCATCATACTAATGGTAGTCGAAACTCACTGACAAACTGTCTGATTGTCATCAATATTTCACCTCATCAAGCTTGGATTATTAAAGTCTTTCCTCAGGAGAAATAAATGATTTCAAATAGGATTAGCAAAAAAAAAAAATAATTCCATGTTTCTTACATAAGGCAAAAACACGATGTTCAAATAAAATGAGTGTTTTCATAAGTCGACCACAAAATTAACTGGGGTGTCTTTTTTTTACGTGTTAAACTTGAACCAGGCTATAATCAAACAAAAGATGTAAACTGCAAGTTTAAGTAGGAATCAGCTGCAAAATTTCTGCTAAAAGGCAAGGACCAGATGACTGCTGTATGTGAGCATGGTTTGGTCATTATGGAACACATTTTTTGTAAGTTATGGTACATAAATAATAGGTGTGGGAACTTCACTTCACCTTAAAGTTAACTATATGAACTGAAGGCTCAGGCCTGAACCACCAAAGTTATCGCATTATGCTGGGCTGGTTTTCTGTCCCTTGGATTTGCAACACTGTGTAAGAGCCTTTTCAGGCAAGAAGTACGTCAAGCTGTGTGGGTTTGCAGGTACACCAGAAATGAGCAGAGAAATAATGTCACATCTAAGTCCATTCTGTCACTACTGACTTTTGTCGCAGACAATCGTACAGATAAGTTCAGCGAGAAATAACTTCACAGTGCTTAACGTGGGCAACAAAATAGCCTCATTAGTCCACCAGAAAGTTTTTATATGAGCATTGTGGAAAATGCAGTCGTTAGAGAACAAGATGTAATTCTATTAAATATCTTATTATGCAATGACATAATCCATCCATCCATTTTCTGTACACCCTTGTCCCTTAGTGGGGTCGGGAGGGTTGCTGGTGCCTATCATAATGACATAATTAAGATACTAATTCATTATTCGTAGCTAAAAAGAATATGATGAATGAATGAGAACTATTCCGTGTGGCTGTGAATTATGTGTGAACTTATAACAAATTCATGTTATGGGTAAACTGGCACAACATCAATGATAATCAGCCTTGTCAAATTCCCTTCAATTACTGGTCTTACACACCATCCACCCTGTCAGAAAGGTTATTTTACTGCCTTAATCTTTTATCAACAAACTCTCTTTTGTTGCCAGGTTCACTCTATCCTTCCTTTAGTTGTAAACCACCAAGAGGATTTTTCAAGTTTTTAAGTGGTGTAAAACAACTACAAAAATTGTATTTCAGGCAAACACAAACAAACCCAAGCCTGGCGATTGCCTATATTCAGTTTCGTTCAATTCTCATCTCCCTTCAGTGCTCCGTCTAGGATTTCTACACTTGTGAACGACTGATGTTACTTTTCTGTGCTCTTCTTGAATTGCAGTCTGCCTCTGGTTGTAGTTTAGCAATGACAGGGGAGGAAGTGAATGAGCTCATTCAGTCTGCGCTGGCCACATTTCCAAATACTAAGCAATTAAAATCAGGGCAAAAGGAATCTATAAGAGATTTTTAGATATGGGCCAACTCCCCACGAGGTTGTTTACACTTTAGAGCACGTACAATTTCTGGTGAGCTGTCTTAAGCTGATGTATTACATACATCGCTGCCAAACGATGGCAACTGCGTAAAATCAAATCCAATAATTTAAAACTTCAACACAGTTCACGCGTCCAGCAAGCAGTAGCCCAAGGTCCAAACATTTTGTACAAAAAAATCCTAGAACCATGTGCTGTTATTTAGCAGGCTAATAAACTCTCAACGTTTCCACAGACTTCAATATGAAAATATTTGTTTCTCTACAACTTAAACCGAGGGTGTCCAAAGTGGAACCCTTGGACCATTTGTGGTGCTTTGACTGAATTTGTGCAGCTCTCAAACTACAATTTAAGAATGATACAGAATTGACCCGTCCAGCCCAGGGGCTTGATGTAGATGGAGACCTTTTATTTGTAATAATAGTAAAATGATGATAGTGTTCTTAAAATGGAAAATGTTAAGTACAACAAAATTTTAATCTTCTTATAACCCACTTTTTATAATAAGTAGAACCATGTTTATCCAGTGACTTTTACTGAAAAGCTGACTTTGCTGCACCAAGCTTTTATCTGATTTATCCAACTTGGCCAGCTAACATTTTGAAAGAAAGTGATCCAAATCCTTTTCTTTTACTGAGAATGAATTTGGTCAAACTGAAAACAAGATGCCTTTCTTTTAATACAAAATATATATATATATTTTTACTTTTTGGATCTACAATGAATAACATCCCTTTCCTGCAAAAGGACAACTTTATTTGCTTGATTTTTTTATTTTTTATTTTTAGTTCAGTTTAGTTTTCTTTGCTTGGTCCGTGAGTACCTTCGACTCATAATTTTGTCACAAGTGACAAAATGTTTAGACACTGACTTAAACAACAAAAAAAAGTTTAACAGGATAATTTAAAAAAATGCACATCTATGTAAATATAGATGTACTAGAAAATCTGCAAAATCTAAAATGTTTATATTGAGGCAGAAATAAAGGGCACTAAAAGAATTAAAACCCGCAGCCTTACAATGGTGATACACTAAAATGTTTAGCCTCTAGCTCTCGGAGTCAGACGCAATACATCTATGTAGGTTAAGTATGCATAATAACAATAAACATTCTTTTATATGAGTAACTTAAAGAACTGCAATACAAATAGCTGAATACAGGGGCACTTGCATAAAGTTTTCCAAAGGGTGAACTGAGGAAAGGGGGCACTAAAGACTTCAGGTTGGTGTACTAAACCCAGTGATTTTATGATGCTGTAAAAGCTGGTAGAGAGCAGAGCTGCGATGGAGTGATAGTGATTAAAAAGTTTAAATGCTACACAAAAACAAAAAAAAAAGACATAATGAATAAATACTTATATAAATAACCCAGTAAATAAAGCTAACTAAAGAAAATAAATAAACAAAAACTCATTGAACAACCTTTTAAAATTAGTGGCGATGTTAATTGGGTAATTTGGGTAATGCAACAGATATTTAAATTGTCAGGTTCGCCTTTTTACTGAAGCTACAAAAAAAGCTCCTGTCTGATGGGCATCCTGGGTCAAACTCAATTTGAAGATAATTAAGCACCGCTCACACATAACAAACACAAACACCATTTCGGATATTTTCATGTCAGCCTAACAGAACAACATCTCGGTCTGCTGCCACACATTTCACCCATCGCTGCAGGTGAACTGACCGGCGTTGTCTCAGCAAAGCGACCCCCCGAAGAGCCACATATAAAGCGGTGTCTGGGAGCCAAACGCTCCGACTTTCTCTTTGCTCCAGTCGACTGTGAGCGAGCAGAGTTTCGCTCCGCATGCTTGTAAATAAACTATTTATGTAGCTACCATTAAATCCATACCAGTGTCGCAATGCAAAAAAATAAAAAATAAAAATAATAATAAAAAAAATACACCAAATATAAATATTACCAATGCATGATACAATAAAACATGCGGAGTAAAAGCAAAGGCGTCACAAAGAAGGACGCTGCTGGATATCAATTAAAATCGTCTTAGAATAAATACATTTAGGAAAGCCTGAAGATTAAACTAAAGACGGCTTTCCAACCTTCCAACCCTACCACCGTCTTAACCTCCTGACAAAATGTCTACCTTTTCTCAAATAAAGGAAGCGGTGAACTTTCCAGCGCTTGCAGAGCGCTGGGCACAGAGCTCCGTGCAGCTGAGTGAGTCTCCTTGCGCCCTCCCCTGCCGCAGCTCAGTGTGTGACTGCCCCCCGGCCGCTCATGAACTTCCCTCACAGCCGCTGTTTCCTCCCCCATAAATAAAACTTACTTTTCTCTGGCTTGGCTGTCGGACGGCACGTTGCTGCTCTTGCCTTTGGCGTACATGCTTACAGAGAGCCTCCGATTGTCACGCACCTGTCAACCCATCACAACCTCCTTGGGCACAGCCCCGTCACCATAGCGACACAAGCAGCGTCGACTCCCATTGGATGTCCCGCTGTGCAGGACCGCCCGCTCCCCAAACAACCACCGCTGATTGACAGTTTTAGCCCCGCCCACTTTAAATTAACCCCCCCTCTCTCTCTCTCTCTCTCTCTCTCTCTCTCTCTCTCTCTCTTTCTCTCTCTCTCTCTCTCTCTCTCTTTCTCTCTCTCTTTCTGTTTCTCTGTCTCTCTCCTTTCTTTTTCTCCCTCTCTCTACCCTGTAGATCTGTGTCTCTTTCTGTTTGTCTGTCAGCATCTCTCTCATTCCTTCAGTGACTGGAAAGGCTTTACTGACATATAGAATCCGGCACACATGCACTTCTAGAAAACATGCTCACATACGCACATCTGCAGTACCTCCCTCATATTCTTCACTCTGAGCCGAGTGGGGGATTTGAAACCGTCCAACAAGGATTTTGAACGACTGGCTTTGGCTGTTCCCTTTATAGTCAATCACACCCTCTGCTGACACACACAGCACAAACAGCACATCCATATTTCCATTATTGTTTTACACACAAATGTAAGGTCATCCATTAAGGAGAGGAGCATGCTAGGAACAAGACAGAAAAAGCGTACTCTATATATTGCTGCTGCAGTGTGAATGGATTCTGGTCAGTTCCAACCCCCACTTTTGCCAATTTGTACCCCTACTTTGTTCCCACATGTTGCAGTTTGTTGCCATCTTTGCTTCATCCATTTCAGGTTGATTTCAAATCGAAAATATGAATTGAACGTCTACACTACTTACTATTTGATGGTTTATGAGATGCACCATTAAGATATTTCAGAAAACTGGTTGATTACGTCATACACTTACCTTCAATGGAGAAAGTTAAAGATTCACCTTGGAGAATTTTCCAATTCAAGACAGATTTAGAAAAAAAAAAATCTAATTGAAATGTATGTACATGCTTTACATGTTATAACAACTTGTTCAAACATTTGCATGTTAAGACTTGTGCAATGACCTTAAGCATACATGTGGATGATGGGACTATTCAGCAGATACCAACACAATGCATTCTGATCAACATGACGACAAAAGCAACTGGAAATGTAGGAAATGTGTAGAAGAGGATTATACAGTATTGTTTTCATAGATGTACCATCATAGAAAGAGAAGCACCTTTTTTTGATGTACATAAGTGACACTATATTTTAAAGATTGGACAAGTACTTTTGAGAATGTCAATTCTGATCTAAAAAAATAATAAAAAAAACAATAACCAGAGCGACTAAGTAAAATGTAACTGAGCTTTTTCCATAGGGTGGAGAATGCACCTATATCTATGGTTCTCATCGTTCCAGATAGGGTGAAGAGCTCCGTCATTTGGGTGGTCTCAGACCAGAGCAGTTGCTTCTAGACACTGAATGGTGTCGTTTGATGTGTTCCAGGTATAGTATCAGATCAGAATGATTCCTGGATGACTTCATGTGGAGGTTTTCTGGATTTGTCCTGCTAGGAGAAAAGCCAGAACAAGTTGGAAGGACTTTATTATGATTCTGGCCAAGCAGCACCTTGGGTTCCCCAGGAATGAGTGACGGAAGGCTGGAGTTTTCCCTCCTTGACCTGTTACCCCCCCCGCCCCCACATCCCGATCTCACTTAAGGGGAAGATCGTTGATGAACAATACACCAGTTGCCTTACAAGAATCTAACGTCTCCAGAACCGGTGGTGTGGGTGTGCTTTCTGATATGGAGCATCAAATGCTGAGTCATGCTCCTGTCCAGTTTGGCAGTTAACAGACAAGATAGTTCACTCTGGTGCCATAATGTACTCAAAAAAAAAAAAAAAAAAAGGATACAAGAGAGAAAGATGAGCAGAAAAACTTAGTTTGATGCCATTTAAACGTTAGGAGCATGACAGACTGTCGTACAAGGTGGCTGATGCCCAGACAGAAGTGAGTTCTGGAAAGACAGATTGTTGCAGTGTGATTGTGTGAGCGTGCGCGCGCTCAGGGTACAGCACAGGGGCAGCAGTGTTTATGCTTACGCAATGCTCCTGCGATGTGACCTAGTTGGAATGGATGTATGCTGCCTCATTCCCTCCTGTTTTCTCTCTCTGTGCCTGTCTCTCCCTCTTCCCCTTAATGTGTCATCCATTTTTTTTTCCTTGACTGAAACATATCACGTTCTCTTTTCACCTCTCTTTGTTTCACCCCTCTTCCTCCTCCTCAAACACACAAGAGCAACCCCCAACCCCCGACCCCGGAAAAAAAAAAAAAGTGTTTCAGACGAGCAAAACTTTCGGTTTTGGGATCAGTCCCCGAGGGTCTATCGCCATGACAACCAATCAGAGGTGATAAGCTTGAGTTTCAGAGAATGGAGGAGGAGGAAAGAAGAAAGGCATAACAGAACAAACTGAACTGAAAGTGGAATGTAAAGAAAATATAGAGGTTATGAGGTCATCTTTGGGAAAATATGTCATATGGACGGACGGAGGGATGCAGGAATGGATGTAGATAGATAGATAGATAGATAGATAGATAGATAGATAGATAGATAGATAGATAGATAGATAGATAGATAGATAGATAGATAAAAACTCAGTAAACTGTAATTAATTTTCTTATTTGTTGAGAATAAATATAATAGTCAAATTCAGTTGTTTGTTGAGAAATTCCTGCTAGACATTTATTCCTTTGCCTTTTCAGTTTTAGTGTCCTACCTGACTTTTTCTGAAATGCAGTGGAACCGTCAACTGCAGGAGGTTTTGTGTTGATCATATGTCAAGTTTTGCTGACAGGAGGACATTCTGTACCAACCTTGAGAACAAAATAATTAAAGTAAATTCTTATGCTCTGCTGATAGTCTAGATTACAGTCGTCTCAAACCTGCAGGTCCAGAACCATGTCTAGTTCTTTGACCTCTCCGCTAGGGCTCTTAAAAAAATCAAATTAGAAAAGTTTTTAATTATAAAGGCAATAGAAAAGAGTGGTTATGCATTTTCTGATATATCTGCATCAAAAATTTACAACAGAAGGGTAGCAATGGGTTTTTTTGTTGTTGCTTCAGACTTTGCTTAGTTTAAATTCATTAGCTTTCAGAATTATATTCAATACCTATTTATAAACTCTATCTCGTTTTGTGGCTGTAGACAGGACACAAATACCAAGGTGGCCAGAGCGGGAATCAAGCCGGCGGCCCACCAAGTGCAGGGCGAACTCCTACTGCCATCGCCCCCAGTGTCACATGAACAATATAACTAGACACAAAAGTCATTCAAGATCGCACAGTGGAGCAGTTATTAGGACTCCGACCTCCAGGTGCTTCCTCCCAACAAACTAACCAAAACATTCATGCTCTGGTTAATTTGTTGATCCAGTCTCAGTCTGCCGTTAGGTGTAACGGTGTGGATGGACGGTTGTTTTTTCTGTGCATTACTATTACGGCCTTTAATGGATAGGTACACTGTACATGGCGCACTCCACCTCTTTGACATTGACTTGGAGAAGAGCATTAACTTCCCATGGCTTTGCAACATCAAAGCTGCTGTAAAAATGGATAAATGATAAGCTCTTTCCAGTCTTGTCATTGGTAGCCCTAAGCTTAGACAATGTGCACTTGATCTTTGGAATTGAAAACCTAGTCCGTGACTCAACCCTGTTATATCAAATCAACCCAGGCCTGGATCACTTCAGTAGAGACATATTACTAGTATATTCAGAGAAATATATTTACCTAAAATCAACTGTAGGAGTATAATTACTACTATTATTTATTATCCTTTACCAGAGCACTTTCTATTTCCCTTTTAATGCCACACACGACTTCCCCATCTTTTCAACAACTGCTTTGGAGTTTTGGCAAACAGCCGTTGTTAACTGAGCCTGTCGATGGGCTATGTAATCGTATATTTCCACTGAGAGTGTCAGTTAGTCAGGACGCTAATTAGCAAACGATTAAGCCTTCACACTAAAGAGCTTCTTGAGATTAATTGTTCTGGAAGTTTACAAAAACACGACGCTCAAAGAATAAATTTTGTTGCATCGTGGACGCCTTATTGCCTTTTGTGATTTTCGGTTTTAGTTCCAACAAGGAGCCAGTGATAGTGATTTTCCTCTGCGCTCAGTTTAAATCAAGGCATAAAAACTTCATCTCACAGTGAGAAGTGGGGGAGACCTACTCTTTCAAATGCAAATATTACCAGCTGCACTTTTAGGATCTTCCAGCATAAACTCACTGATAGCATACTCACAACACAGATGGGTCGCATCGTCACAATTTACAAGATTGTCATGTATGACTCACAATAACAAATATGTACAGATGTGGTGACTACACATCCAAGAAAAAAAAAAATGGAAAGGACACAGAAGGAAAGAAAACAGCCTCTTGGTCATAGCCTCCTCTGGTCATGGGGCATCTTGAAACTGCCTCCTCCAAACAACATTAGCTGTTCCCTCCACCCTCTTCTGTCTGCTGATAAAACACCAGCCCCAGCCAGAGCTTTCTGTTAATGACGGAAAAAGTTACAAACCCCTTACATCTGCCTGTAAAGACTAAAATTGGATGGTATGAAAACTGAAAACTTCCAATACAGCCAATTTAAACAGCATGCCTCTATAGGTGTGTGCTGCTCAGGGTAAACAGAGTCAACTTGTAAATAAGCTCCGTAGTTTATCGAACAGGAGTCAGCATGACAGCGCGCAGCAGGGGGGTGAAATAAACTCAGCATTCGAGAAAAAAGATGTTTGCTCTCAAAGCGTGATGCAACGGGAAAGCAAGAGATGAGAATATTCTAATAAGTGTGATTCCGAACCTCGCTGATTACATGATATGAAAATGTTGACCGGTCTTCTGCTTCCCGCTGTGCCAACCCCTCTGTTCTTA